ACGCTGAACGAGGAGGCGTACAAGGCCTACTCGCCGCTGTTCATCAGCACGACATTTGCCATTTCTTACGGCCTGTCATTCGCCGCCATCGCCTCCCTGATCGTTTACACTTACCTGCACAACGGAAAGCAGATTTGGGCTCAGTACCGTGGCAGCACCAAGGAGAAGCCCGATATCCACATGAAGCTCATGAAGAAGTACAAGGAGGCGCCTACGTGGTGGTACATGGGTCTCTTCGTGATCGTGAGTGCTCAAGCGCCGAAATCCTTCCGACGCTTACTGACCTGAACTCTAGATGCTGGGCGTTGGCTTCGTCGCTGTCCTCGCGTATCCGACCAACCTGAGCTGGTGGGCGTTCCTTTTGGCTGTCGTCATCTCCTTCAGCTTCTCCCTGCCTATCGGCATTATCCAGGCCATCACGAATAACCAGATCGGTCTGAACGTGCTCACGGAGTTCATCTACGGCTACATCCAGCCCGGACGACCTCTCGCCCTCATGATGTAAGTCCTTCCGTGTCGGACGTCAAACCCTCGCGACTCGCTGACACCCTCTTTAGCTTCAAGACCTTCGGCTACATCACCATGTCCCAGGCCCTCAGCTTCGTCTCCGATCTCAAGTTCGGTCACTACATGAAGATCCCGCCCCGCACAATGTTCATGTGCCAGGTCGTCGCCACGACCTTCTCCTGCTTCATTCAGATCGCCGTCCTCAACGCCGCACTGAAGAACATCCCCGACGTCTGCACCCCGCACCAGGAGAACAAGTTCTCATGCCCCGGCGGCCGCGTCTTCTTCGCCGCCTCCGTCATCTGGGGTCTCATCGGCCCCGCGCGTATGTTCTCCCCGGGCCAGGTGTACTCGGGCCTCTTCATCTTCTTCGGCGTCGGCGCCATCACCCCCGTCATCTTCTACTTCGCCGCCCTCAAGTGGCCCAAGAGTCCCATCAAGTACCTCATGGCCCCCGTCATCTTCGGCGGTGCCGGCGCTATCCCGCCCGCCACCCCGCTCAACTACCTCAGCTGGGGCATCGTCGGCTACATCTTCCAGCACTACATCCGCAAGAAGCACTTTGGCTGGTGGTCGCGCCTCAACTACCTCACCTCGTCCGGCCTAGACCTGGGTCTCGCACTGGCCACACTGGTCATCTTCCTGGCCTTCACGCTCAACAAGATCGAGCCGCCAAAGTGGTGGGGCAACGACATTGTCACGTCGACGATGGATGCGCAGGGCACTGCGATCCAGATGACGCCGCCCCCGGGCCAGAAGTTTGGACCGACGCACTGGTAGAGAAAGAAAGAAGGAGTATGTGTGTGTGTGTGTGGGTTTGCGACGGCGTTGGGTCTATGGGTGTCACACAAACTCATTTTGATATATGGACAACAAGGGATTGGGTGAATTGGGAAAACCAAGGTTGGGATTATTAAGAGACAGTAGATGGCTGGTAACCACGATACTAAGCTGCTTCAATTATTGTGTATATTCTGTACTCAGCCGCGCTACGCCGACTATTTTGTCTAATCTTACTCGTTGTTTCTGTACACGATCCACCTCTTCAGTCACTTAATATGTTGTTGACTATCCCATGTCTACCTTGTCATAAATGACCTGAGGACTTGCCCAAGAGACAATTGAGATAGATAGACTACCAAAGTATGGCGAGACGACCTTCATATGGCTATCAACTGACAGAGCGTAAACAACAGCCTGGCTGCTGGCTGAGCCTCGTAGTGGACCCAGTCCGCGGGTCGTTTACGAGGATAACTTCCCATTGCTGGCAGCAAGTAGAGCCGCGCCGCAACCACGCAGTCACTCAAGCGCGCTGTGCCCCACGCGTGGTGTAAAATCGAACCACCACCCATCGTACAGGCATCGATAACAAAGACCGGAGATGCAGCCTCGGCATTTTGACCCCGAGCCAGAACCCCATAGCGAAGCAACAAGAACCGTAGATCTTACAACACACGGATTCTTGGCTCTTGTTGGTTCAGAACGCCACACAATGTTTGTGAAACCAAGCAGCGTAGTAACGGTACCCGAAACTAAGAGCGTCGCATCGGCGGTGGACTGTGCCTGTCTGCTGAGTGGAAACAGTCGAGTTTTGATAGGTGGGGCCCGCGCGCGGCGGTGATGTTCAACTCCGTTAATCCGCTGTGGAGGCGCTAACGGTTCGGGGCAAACGGCCGGGGCCGTGGGGCACTGCGACGGGGCGAGCGGGCAGGTCCAGTCAAGACTCGAGACTCAAGCCACAGGGAAGAGGCGCTGGAGTGGCCCAGGCCCTCCCTCCTCTTAGTGTCCTTCATGCGTTGAAGTTTCGTTGGGGGCGAAAAACAAGCCCATACGTAAAATCGGCACTAGAACACAATGGAGCCTCCAAGTTTCGAACCATTGTTTCTTGTGCATGTTGTGGATGGACCAGATTCCCGATTATTGCCAGCCACGGCCCGAATGCTGGAAGCCTCCCCCGCGGAAGGCTGGGAGGGGCGGAGTCGGCGGGAAGAAACACAGAGTCAGGACGATGTTGTCATTGTCTGTGCTTTCGTGTGAGGGCAGGTGTCATTGGGTTTGCCAAGGGCATCTCGATGATTTCTGCTGCCCCAATTTGACGACGAGTCAGGGTTTTGGAGTGACGTTATGATGTTGGAGCTTTTTCGAGAGTGTGTATCTCAAATGGACAATTGTGAAATGCCGGCCGGATGGGTGGGCACTCCATGATGGAGGTTCACTGTTGGTTCCCACCAGAGAGGGAGCCAAGAGGGGCCTTCTTGATGTGGGCGGCGAGGTTGACTGAGTGTAACGGGGCAGAGAGGGTCTCCATTGTTCAGGTAGAGGCGGCACCGGCAAATGGGGCCTAGAGTCTGTTGGTGATGTTGCCCGATGTCGTACTGCCTGTCGCTCGTCAAATCAAAGGCCTGTAAGATGGAAATGTTGTCACTGCAAAATCGGCCGAACCTTCTGTCACCTCGGGAATGTTGACGCCCGTCCCCATCTCCGGTGTCTATGCAGGGGCAAGTGGGATAAAATGGGATGGGATGTGATCCAGAGAAGGCCCGGCCTGGGAGGATGCGGCGGGACGAGGAGGGGATGCAGACAACAATGCAACTTCCTGGACAACCTTGATTTGATTTGCACTTTCCCACTCTATTTGCATGCCCATTCCTCATCGCTAATATTTGCTTATTCCTCGGCAGCCGCCAATCAGACTCTCTCGATTTCACCCTTTCAGAACCCATTCACGCGGGCAATGTTCCCTTTCCCCCTCCAACTCCACGCCGGTATGCACAAATCGTACGAAGAAATCAGCGACCAGGCTCATCTGGATCACGGATTCACCGTTGGGCCTAGTTCACCGCCACCAGAAGCCCTATATCCCAGCACACCGGCCGGCCTATCGGAATTTGATTTCGGCCGCAGGTGGCTTGACTGAACCCCGACCACTAGCTCCACGCCTAGAGCTGTCACCCTCGTGGAATGTCTCTACAACCTGACCCTGCAGAAGGGCAGAGGCAAGGAGGCTAACGACGACCATCCAAAACATAGTTGCACTCAGAGTGGCTGGAACGGCCAATGACCTGCATGAACAGCGGTCGATCTCAACCGCCCGCCGACTGACACCCATCGTGACGCACGAAATCCCATCACGCTTCCTTCTTCCTCGACACCTCACTCCACAGACACTTGGCTTCCCCTAGATCCCCCGACATCGAAAGTCGTTGTTGCATTGCAGCTGCATCTGGCGCCCCTCCAATCCGCCGCGGCGGGGACGCCACTTCAACGTGCCACTCGCATGCCACCTTCCCCTTGGCTTGGGCTTGAGGTAATCGCGACCTCCGAGTGCTTCCCAACCCTGAGAAGGCCTGGAGCTGCCTGCCGCTTCTGTTCTCGCCCAAATCACTTGGCCCTGTGCCAAAGCTCTGAGACATCCCACTGAGAATGGTTTGGGCTCTCAATAGACATCAAGTCCACCACGGAGAATCTTCCGCAACCAATTAGGTCCAGTGGATCACGATACATCAGCAATGCAGAGACGATGGGTTCTCAGACGATGACTCCTGCAAGACTAATGCACCGCACAGACATGCTATTATCACGTTGCCCTCACTGACCCTAACCCAGCAAACCTCTCTGATTCGAGCCACTTTTCGCCGGTCGTTGGAGACCTCTCTGGAAGATGCCGTGAAGGAGTCTAGCCTTCGTATCTGGCCCGGCAAAATGCACGGATGACCACCTTCTCCGCCTGCTGACGGATTACCGACTCCATGGAACTTTGTCAGTGGCTTCTGCGCCGCTCGCAGGTTATGCAGCCCGCTCAGTTGGGAAACTTGCGGCCATTGACACCCAACTAACACCGGCACATCCGTTGAGGTATCATTGCGTCGCTTCTGCAAATTCTGCCCTTTCAAACTGGGGACAAAGCCCGTGACATGGCGATCCTGGCAACTCGGCTGGCTCAATGCTTGGCATCAGCCATTGAGTTTAGCTGAGAGAAAGAGCCCGCTCGCTTGGCACTTGGAGACAATTGCTACAGGCGCCATCCATCTTTCCTGAGGACCAGTCGTGGAGAGGCAGTTCCCAATCCAATCCATCCAGATCGGTCCCGAGGGACCGTAGCTTCCGTCCCAGTAACTGCCAGTGTGGCCTTCTGCGGGCAACTCGTTCTGGCGACGGAAGTTCTTCCCAAACGATCTGCCTTCTTAGCGTTTTGCTTCTCAGATCAGCATCATGTCGACAAGCTGACGAGAGGACTAATTTCTCATCCTGCCTCCTCCAACAACGCCAAGTATCAATACATACGCATCCTTAATTCGAACCCTATTGAACTCACTTTACCACCTCCCGAATAGGATACTCCCCCGCGAGGATACGAAGTCGCTTTAATCTACGCGTATTTAAAGTTTCAACTCATCCGACGAACGCTACCCACTCTGGAGCCGTCTGTCAAGCTATAACACCTAGACCCTTGAGACCCCTGAACCCAATTCGACGTGCGTATACGGTCGAAGATGGCGAGCCAAAACGCCCTCGAGAAAGAGTCGGCACCGGCCGGAAAGGCAGTCTATGACCCGGACTTCACTGCCCGTGTCATTGCCGCTACGGGGCCGAACGCCAATCCCCGTCTGGCCCAGATTATGCCGAGCCTGCTGCAACATCTCCATGACTTTGCAAGAGAAGTCGACTTGACAGTCGGTGAATGGATGGCTGGCGTGCAACTTGTTCGTCTGCCGTCTGCTTTGGTCTTGTCAATTCAACATCTCGTCTACTAACATGTCGTCACCGTTTAGATCAACGAGGCAGGCCAAATGTCCAACGACGCCCGTAACGAAACCCAACTTGTCTGCGATATCCTCGGCCTCGAATCCCTCGTCGATGAAATAACCTCCACACAGCTCCAGCTCCAAACAACGTCCTCTCTCGCAGCAAACCCGACATCGTCCGCCATCCTAGGCCCTTTCTACCGCCACGACGCCCCTATCCTCCCTAGCGGCAGCTCCATCGTCTCCTCCCTCGACTCTCCAGAATACCAAAAAGCCTCGACCCACCTGTACGGCCGTGTCCTCGACCAGAGCGGCAACCCGGTCCCCGGCGCCATCGTCGACCTCTGGCACACCGCCCCGAACGGCATGTACGAGCAACAGGACGCGGATCAGCCGGACATGGACCTCCGCGGCCGATTCAGGACCGACGAGGAGGGGAGATACTCGCTGTACTGCCTGCGGCCTGTGCCGTACCCCGTCCCCGACGACGGGCCCGGCGGCAAGATCCTGAAGCTGCTCGACAGACACCCCTTCCGCCCCGCACACATACACTTCATCGTCTCGGCGGACGGGCACAGGCCGCTGACGACGCAGCTTTTCGACAGCGAGGATAAGTTCCTCGAGAACGATACGGTTTTCGCAGTCAAGAAGGATTTGGTGGTGGAGTACAAACCGAGCGAGTCGGATCCGAAGGCTGCCTGGGTTTTGGAGTACGACTTTGTGTTGCCGAGTACGTGAAGCCTTCTCTCTATCTACGGATACATGGGGCAAATCACCTAGTTGGCAGACCAAAACGCTTTTACGAAGACATGAATGACAAAACGCACATCAAACATAACCGTCTGCTTTTGAATGTTTAATTCCTTTGAATTTGAATTTTTGTGCTTTTTTGGTATCCCATGCCCCGTATCTTGTTGCTTGGCATAATCCTTTCCTCCCATTTTGTCTCACCGTAACTCCGTACCAATGATCATTACCCATGGAGCAAGCCCGGAGGTCTTCCAATACCGATACTTGGTGTACATACACACGACACAGCGGCTTCGCAAACCTCTTCTCCTCCCGCGCAAGCTTGCCTGCCCTCATACAGTCAAACGCACGATCCACCAACACTGGGTATATCTATCTCGCCGCGCCAGCGCACTTTCCATTCTCCTCCAGTCGGCTTTTGTCATCTTCGTCTGCTCGATCCCTCGCCCAAATGGTACTACGAATGTTCCGCAAGGGTGTACATCGGCACGTTCAAAGGAGCCACATAACCCCCCGCACCAGCAGGAGCACCCCCTCCTCCACCTGCGTTCCCATTAGGCCCGAAGTTTCCGAACCCCTGGAATCGCGGACCCGGGCCTTGCACCGGGAAACCTTGCCCGGGCACCGGCATCACCCCGCCCGTCTGCGGCGGCGCAGGTACAGTTGGCCCCGCCGGCATGGGTCCGCCCGCAGGAGGACCCGGGGTGGCGCCGAAAGCCCACATCGAGTCAAAGGGAACCTCCTCGTCGCCCATGTCGGAGTCGCCCATCCTCGCACTCAGGTCGCCGCCCGAATGCGACATGCCGGGCGTGCTACCCGCCGGGGAAACACCGGCAGACGGGCCAGCGGGGGCGGAGGAGAAGCTGTGCTCAGTCCTCATGGACAACGGCGGAGGCGCCATTGCCTTTACCGCGGACCCGGGCGGCGCGGAGGTGGCGGTTGTCGCAAAGGAGTTCTTGCGGGAGGGGGCGGTGCGTTTAAAGAGGCTGCCGATCGGGTCGTGGAGGGCTGTCGGGGACATTGTTTGCGGGATAGGCATGGCTGGCTGCTCGGGCTTCTTTGAGCGCAACTCGTAAATAACGTTGCGGAACGAGTTGAGAATGAAGAGAAGCCTATTGGCCTGCGGGTCGCTCGTCGCGCAGTAGTTCATGATGGAAATTGTGCTGGACATGGAGGTTCCGTAGGTCGGGTTCGGGTATATGGCGGAGAACTCGTTACTGAGGACGATAAGAGACGCGGCAAAGAGAAAGTACCTTGAAGTAGTGTAAGTGGCATGTCTTGAAAATATTTCTTTTTTCCGGGGGAGAGCTTACAGGACAAACGGGTTGCGCTGCGGAAGATAGTTGCTGTCGAATGCCTTCTGCACCAGGGCGATTGTCTCATTGGCCGCGCTGAGGCAAGCCTCGCAGTATTTCGATGTGCGGTTGATCCAGCGAGGAACCGGCAGCGTAAACCCTTTGCGCTCATTGTGAACCTTGCTCAGGAGATAAATAAAGAACGGCCGTGTGAGTATGATGATGGTGTGGTAGTAGAAAAGGTTGACGTGAAGGGCGGCGATGGCCTGCGCTGGGTTGGTTGGATCGGCGGCCACTTGCCCCGACGACAGATCGTCGCTGAGTGATGCGTGCCAGGCTCCGCATTGCTCCCAAATCTCAGACGTCCTGCGAATTGACACGAGCCGGCGGGCGTAGATCTTTTTCAAGATCTGGCTAACAATTTGGCAACATCTTACAGCGGCGTCGAGCCCGTCGCTGGGGTTCTGGATCCGTACCAATTCACTGGCAGACTTCTTCTCAAATACAAGCAGAGCGTCGGCCGAGCACTCTTCCTCGTCAATCGCGACTGGACGGCCCAGCGAAGCGGCGAGGAAACGGTCGAGGATGAACAAGCTCCTCCAGAGGCTTCGGCGCAACCTGACGTCTTCGCTTTTGAAGATGAAATGGTTTTCATGGACTCTGTGCAAGCCGAGTGCGAAGCCAGAGCGAACTGCCATGCCTTTGGGACGGTGTTAGACATGGTGTGCAGGGGAGGGGTTGGGTTGAGCTAAGACTTACCAAAATAGGCATACGCCGCATTGCGCTTGGACACTGCCAGCATGTAGACAGCCATCAACAACAACGCTTGCACAGACCAGAAATCCGCATCTTCGAACCCAGAGATGGGGTCGCCGAGGGCTTTCGCACTCCTAAAGAAAGACTCAGCTCGATCAAACTGGGCCGTTCTGAGCTTCTTGAAGATGGCGTCCTCTTTGCTGTTAGGAAGCGGCGTCGCGAACACCATGCCGATGGCAAAGGTCAGGTACAACAGACATAGGAAGGATGACTGTGCCGTAAGAGGATCCGAGTAACACGCCTCCAGTGATCTTTCGAAAGTGGGCCTGTCGAAGACTTGAATCAAACCATACGTCTATGGAGGGTTAGCAGGTGTGTTGTACTAGGAATAGACTTTTTTTACGTTTGTAAAAAACGACTCAACCAAAGCATTGGCCGTATCCCTGTCAGGTAAGATATGCGGTGTCTGTATGTTGGCCGGCATCGCTATCGTGGCCTCCATGATCTTGTGGCGGCTTGGGTCTTGCGTGAACTCGCTAGGACCAGCGCTGGCTTCAACAATCATACGAATGAGTTGAAGGTAAGCCAACGACGCGGAGTCGCCAACGTAGACTATCAGTTTTGTTAGTTTTGCCTTGGTCGCATATCTACGGGGTCAGTCGTACGTAGTCTACCTGTCGGATCTTGAAGCATCCTGACAGATTGCATGAGTGCCGTCTCTTCGTCGGGGCCTGAAGCTGTGCTGTGCCTAGAGCGAATGTCGAAATCCCGATCTCCCCCTGCCGGTTCATGGTCTTGCTCGATGGAGGGTTTTATGTCGAAGCCAACATGCGGCTTGTCCTCATTGGGCAGCGGTTTCGTCTCCCACGGCGTGGCGATCGCTGCGGGACTTTCTGATGCGAATGCAGCATCTTGGATAACTGGCTTGCTTGTGGGGAGCTCTTCAATATTGCGACGTTTCGAAGGCGAAGCTAATTGGTCCGGGGTAGTCTGGTCGGACATGTGGTTTGGGTTTTGTGTGTAGGTACACATCAAATTCCTTTTAGTACACGTCGCACATGGTTTAGAACCGTTGCACTTTAGAGATATTGGTCAGTCATTGAAGCAGGCTGGGTACAAAGTGCGCCATCCAAACCAGGGCAGATGAAGAATGTGACGGGCTCGAAATTGCCGACCCCTGGAGTCAGTCAGCCCCTAGAGAGCGGTGGACGCGAGACCGGCAACATGGAAACCCGCCCGGAGATCGATACTAGGGCTTCTCCATGGGATGAACCAATGACCCCGGTGAAGTCTGCGACCAGATCGTCGGGTTGGCGGCCGAGGTCAGGTCCCAGTCGGGGAATATCCCGGCCAGCTTGACCGGAGAGTGCCCCGTTTAAGGATCCAGCGATATTGCAAGTAATGCCGCGTAGGAAACACCTCCCAAACACATTTCTGGGAGACGCATCTCTGCCCACCATCCACTTGAGATGGTCCAACCTAGTTGGCAACGTAACATTGATCATCAGGGTGGTAGACTGGGATACATAGACAAGTGCGGTGAAACTGGGTTTGGGTATTGATCGAATTGTGAGACCCCGGGCATCTCATCCTTGATCGGAGGATTTGACGCTATTTCGGGGCGGAGGGTACCCGGGCTTGAGTGATATCCGGTACCCAAACTAGGCGACGGGTGATGTGCGGACGGATTCCCATTATCGGGAGCTGATATGTGACCGATTTGGAGTCTTGAAGCAACTAGCCCAAGGCCGGGGCGAGGGGATGGTGGGGATCGGAGGGGATGGTATGCAACGCCATCATCAACGACAACCACACTGTGTGGTTATGGCGACAATACGTCTTAGATTACAAGGGGGATGGATAGAAAAGGCGGTAAAGGCAAGGCAGGTAGAGAGCTAGGCAAGGGGAGAGAATCGTGACAACAGACGAGACCAATTGGATTCCGGCTGAAGTTGATGGTGGCAGACAGGGACGTGGTGTGGAAAACAAAAGTAGGGCTCACCTTCTGCTTCCGGCGCTTACAAGTGTCACAGGCCTGGGCGGTCCGTTGGCGCTTGTCTTCGGGGACCTTTGGACGGGTCATTGTCGAGATCGATGCATCAGCCGAACTTCCATGGACCGACCCTTCTTAGCAATACCCGTTATCCGATGATGCGCGTGATGGTGGGCGGTGGAGTTGGTTTTGGACGAGCAACGGCCGCAGTAAGGCAAGGCGAGTGAGAATGAGTAGGGTGACGGGATGTACCAGACCAGTGAGTAGCTCAATGTGTCGAAAGGCGGAAAGAGGCGGCGGGGATTCACAGAACCAAGCTTCCTGCACGGCACGAACTGTGTCGGAGGGGTGGACTGCTAGGAAACGGATAGCAGGCACCAGGCAGGCATGCTTTCCTTCACCCCTTCGCTGCAGCAAGCGAGGAGCCGGAGCCGCGAGGGAGGATCGCGGTTGCGGGTTAGAAGAAACGGGCCGCCGTTGAGGGTTGCGAGAATAGAACCTTGGACGGAAAGGCGCAAGGCGGCTCAGTTCCAACAAACAAGGCCTGTCCCAATTTCCAAGGCGGAAATCAAACTAGTAAGGATCGGTTCTCTGGGCAAGCTTTTTTGACATGTTCCGACGAGGACGGGACAGGCAAGCAAACAAGCGTCTGGTCTGGTGATGGGCGGCTGCTCGACGAGGATAGCTGCAAGTGGGGACCTTGAGCGTCGGGTATGGGGTTGGTTACTTTAAAGAGCAACAACACCATACACAATAGAGATGAGATGTGACGTGGGGAGTAGTAGATCTAAGCTTGTGCTTTTGCCTCGCAGCACTGCGGGCGACTGAGAAAGGGATGGGGGCCGCCGTTGCGGCAGCGGATGTCGGCGAAGGCGGGGAACGGGACTCAATGAGAGAGACAAGTAGGGACAGGACGGCGGCGACTGGCGAGAATGAGGAGAGGA